TTTTTTTTTTTTTTTTTTTTTTTTTTTTTTTTTTTAAGCTTCCATCTAATTTCACACTTTCAATTGTGTTAGTCCTTAGCCTTTAAAAAGTTACATCAGCCTTTGTCAGTGCTTAATAAATGCACACCATTGTGTATGTATCCCCAATCATATAGACATTTTGTAGCTTCGATTATAGGGGAAGCTACAGAAAATTAATTTTGTTCTGAAATTGTCACTGTTTCGTATAAGTGAAACGTTTTAAGAGCGATGCATGTTCTTGCCTTGTTTTAAAACTGAGTTTTATGGCACTTCAGCCTGCCTGGGAGGCGGGTGTTTCTTCCTGCACAGTCCGGGTGGGTGTGTGACCTGGCTGTCCCCCAGCACGTCCCTCTCTGGCACTGGGCCCGAGCTGTTGTCCTTCAGATGCTTTCCGCACTCCTGCCGGATCTGCCTTCCCCTCCGGTCCCGCCTGTGGAGGAGACAGAGAGAGAGGTGTGGACGCAGGCCTTCCTCCCCTGTTTCTGCACGATGTGTTGCATCGTCAGGCTGCACATGCTCGAAGTTGGAAACTGAGCTTTGTGCCTCTGTGAGCTTGCCTCGCACCCAGCAGAGGTCCTTCTACAGAGCAGCCTCTCAAAGGATCATCCAGATTTATCTTATTGTTTCTGTTTTCCTGAAAGCATTTTATTTAATAAATGGGAAGAGGGGTTCCCCAAGCCCCTTGGGGTGGCCTGTAAGAGTTCTGAGATGCGGCTTTCCTTCTCGCTGTGCTGACGTGTCTGCTGGTGGGGCTGGGGGGCAGCAACAGTGGTGATAGTGCGGGTGCCCCAGCCGGCAACAGGCCTGATGCCACACTGCACAGCCCTGGGCTTCCTCCCCGCCAGGCGTTGCACGGAAAAGCCAGTTTCAGTTAGGAATATTCTTGATGAGGCAGGACGATTGTTACTTCTGTGCGGTGTCCGAGTCTCTACCCTGGAGGTGCAGAGTCTTTTGAACATGCTGAGCGAAGAAGGGGGCACGCACATGGAGCACCTCTGCAGGCGGAAGTACCATGGTCGGCTCAGCGAGCCAGTTGCCAGCTGAACTAACCACTGTTTTCAAGGGACACCATTCTTACCGGAAAGAACGACTTACAGATAAACTGCGGTTTTTCAGACTTGAGTACCTGCCAGATATTTCCTCTGTAGAAGGAAGTTAGGCTGTCACTTTAAGGAAGACAACTGCCAATGATGACGTTTCAGCTTTCAAGTGGAAACTGGCACTCTGGAGCACGTGTGTTCCCCACTTGGTGTCTGCTGACCCGTGTCACCTTGGGAAGCCCTCACAGAAGCAGCTCTTTCCCGGGATGAGTCCTGACGTCGCAGACACAGTGCGGGGCTGTGGTGTGGGGTCAAGAGCACGGCCAAGTGCACGGAGCTCGCCCAGGGCAGTGTCCCACCTGCGGTCGCCACGCTGCCCCGGCCTGGCTTCCGCGTAGCATCAGACGAGCACGCCCACAGCCGTCCCGGAGCCGCGGAGATGCTCCCCCTATTCCCGCCGTGTCTCTGCGAGGTGGTTTCCTGCATCGCTGCCACCCAAACACCTGTCACAACACGCGGATCTCGGAAGCAGAGGTGACAGCTCCCCTCCTGAGCGATGCCGCAGGGGTTTGCAGGCGCCGCCTCCTTCCACCTGTTGTTCTCGGTTTTGGAAAAGGCGCTTCTTTTTTCCTAAAAAGAGGCGATCTGTGTTAACATTCAATGATGTTCGTCATTATTTTTAAATGAATTAGGTAGATATTTTTTAAAACTCTCAGTTTTAACTTCTAATATGTAAATATCGATGGGTGCAACCACATAACGAAAGCTCTTTGGGGTCCTGAATAATTTTTAAGAGGGTGGAGGGGCCCTGAGACTAGAAATTGTGGGAACTGCTGTGCTAGGCCATCTGGTGTGGACAATCATATATATTTTTTAAGGCACTTAAAAGGACTTTCTCCTTGGTGTTCTGATCCTAAGGCCCTGAGGAGGCTGAGGAGGTGTGCTGGGCTGTCAAGGGGAAGTGTTGACCTTAGCGGGCACATGTGCGCCTGTGCGGGGATGGGGGGTGGTACACAGACCTGGTAGGTCAGGGTTTTTCTGGGGCCCGCCTGGGTGGGTAGGCGGTCTCAAGGGTGACAGGAGCCCCGCGGGGGGCCCACAGATGCTGCTAAATAGGAGTTGTAGCTATTTAAAGTGGTCGATTATCTATGCATGCATTATATTTATGTTACATTGAATTATAGATTATTATGGCTTATTCCATAAGTAAATACTAGTTGACGA